CTCCCAGTGGTCATTTCGTCGAAAAAGAGGTGCAGGAGCTCATTAGCATAACTTATTATCATAACTTATTTCCATATGCCACACCCCCTGACATCACCGGAAGTGTGTCCAAAGGCAACACCCACCGCTCAGGCTCTACTGGACTGTTTTGGGTTGCTAGATATTGGGGGGGGGGGCATGTAGATCTGTCCTTGCAGAGGAGGGAGAGCTTGTACCTGAATAAAACTTGGTCTTAAAGGTGCCACTGGACTGTTTTGGATTGCTAGCTATGGGGGGGGACGTGCAGATCTGCCCTCACAGAGGAGGGAGAGCTTGTACCTGAAGGCGGGCCGGGGGGGGCTATGCAACTTACCTGTCTGCTTCTTGTGGCCCAACTGAGGGTTGCTGGGAGCAGGGGGTGGGGCTTGTTGCATGTGCCCGCCCCCTGGGCTCCTTACTGCCGGAGCTCCGCTCCCGTGCGCTCCTGCAGTAAATGACCCCTGGATGCTCCAAAGGCAGCCTTAAATACAATAGGATACAAAGATAACACACAAGCTTCTTGTACCTGTCGCAATGACTCTGAAGGTCAGCTTTTGGCCAGCGGCCTCACAGGTGTATTCCCCGGCATCCTTCTTCTCCACCTGCTGCACAATCAGCCGTCGGGATCTGCCTTCGGATTCTACCCTAAATTTCTTGCTGGAGGTGATCAGTTTCCTATCCTTGAACCACTTCACTTCTGTATCGGTTTGTGAGACCTCGCAGCTGAGGGAGGCGTTCTCCAAAACGGCGGCCTTCACCTCTTGCTGGACCTTCTCCTTGTTGGAAAAGACCTCCTCATGCTCTGTGGCAGGAAAAACAAATACACAAAAACATAAGTTATGATGATCGATTGCCAGCGTTTGTTCTCAGATTCAACACCAGCCTACAATAATTTGGCGTGTTCTTAGAGCTGGGCGGGGGAACACCTTTGATTTCCTGGATAACCAATTCATTTTCAGGAGGAGGAGGAGGAGGAATTATACCCTGCCTTTCACTTGGAGTCTCAGAGCAATTTATAATCTCCTTCCTTGCCTCCCCCCACAACGGACACCCTGTGAGGCAGGTGGGGCTGAGAGAGCTCTGAGAGAACTGCTCTTGAGAGAAGAGGTCTGAGACAGCTTGTGACTGACCCCAAGGTCACCCAGCTGGCTGCACGTGGAGGAGTGGGGAATCAAGCCCGTTTCTCCCAGATTAGAGCCCACCGCTCTTAACTACTGCATCAAACTGGCTCTCACCGAACTCTGAACTGGTGTTGGAATCTGTGCTGGCATACAGAAAATCTGGGTAAAAAATTATCTCAGGTGATGGGATGGACCTGTCCTTGCCTCAGACCCTGGAGATGCTGCCACCGAGTCGGGTTCCAACCTACAGACACGGCCTAGGATCTTCTGGAATGACAACTGATTTCCAGACTACAGAAATCAGTTCCCTTGGAACAAGTGGCTCCTTTGGAAGGTGGAATCTACAGAATTACACCCCCGATGTCCCTTCCTCTGCCCAAAGCCCACCCTCCCCTGGCTCTACGCCCTCGGGTTGCCAGGTCTTACCTGGGTCCTGGCGGGGGGGGTTCAAAGAACATTGGACATGCCGTGCGGGGGACACTCTAGCATTTTGGTAAAAAACCACAGAGGCCACCGTAGAGTCTTGACCCAAACACTAGAGTGCCCACCGCACGACGTGTCTGGCACGATGATATCACCTCCGGGCGACGTCATCGCGCCAAGCATATCAGGCGTGACAGGCGCTTTGGGGATGGGGGTCCCCCACCAGCCAGCTGGCCGGCGGTGGGTTGGGGGGGCGGAAAGTGAGGGAAACCCCACCCACATTGGGGGGTTGGCAACCCTACTAAACCCTGAATCTCCAGGAACTTCCCCGTCAGAGTGAGTGATACTGAGCTAACTGAACAAATAGGCCGAGTCCGAATAAAACAGTTTCATGTCTTCATACAAGGCTTGGTGTTCCATGTCACTAGAAATTAAATCCAGGGGTCATTTCCTGCAGGAGCACACAGGAGCGGAGCTCCGGCAGTAAAGAGCCCAGGGGGCGGGCACATGCAACAAGCCCCACCCCCTGCTCCCAGCAGCCCTCAGGCAGAGCAAGAAGCAGCCAGGTAAGCTGCAGAGCTTTCCCCGGCCCCCCGGTCCAAAACAGTCCTGTGGTACCTTTAAGACCAGGTTTTATTCAGGTACAAGCTCTCCCTCCTCTGTGAGGACAGATCTGCACGTCCTCCCCCCCAATAGCTAGCGATCCAAAAGAGTCCAGTGGAGCCTGAGCAGTGGGTGTTGCCTTCTGACACACTTCTGGTGATTTCAGGGGGTGTGGCATATGCAAATAAGATATGCTAATGAGCTCCTGCACCTCTTTTTCTACGAAATAACCCCTGGCTAAATCTAACTCACCTTTCACCTCAACGTGGAATGTTATCTTGTCGTCCTTGGTTTCACAGGTGTAGACCCCTTCGTCCTGTCGCCTGGCGTCCCTGACAGTGAGTTTCCGTTGCGTTCCCCGCATGGTGTATGCCGTTCTCTCGTCCGGCCTAATCTCCTTCGGACCCTTCTTCCACACCACAGAATCGTGTTCTGACGACACCTCACACACCAGTTCAAACTTCTCAGACAGCCTGACTGAAATACCAGGGGCTGATCCGACTGTGTCCAGGAACTTGGCTGCTTCTTCTGAAAAAGAAAGCGGGGGTAGAGCTGAGTGCGAGCCGGCCATTCGAAATTACAGACGAAATGGTGTTTTGTGTTCATTGAAATTCCAGTGAGTTTAGGTTTGGATACTGAGGTCTGCCTTGGTACAAGCAAGTCTGAAGTCTGAGAATTTATATCAAGATGGGTAGCCAGGGCTATTTCTGGGCAGGGACGTACAGGAACGGAGTTCTGGCTGGCTCCCGAGTTGACCACGCCCAGCAGGAACTCATTAGCATAACAGGCCACACCCAACAGCAGAAGCTCATTAGGATTGGCTACATTAGGGGTGTGTGGCCTAACATGCAAAGGAGTTCCTGCTACAAAAAAAGGCCCTGGGTTTTGACAACAAATATATTAAACAGAATAAGAAGCAAAAGGTGGGTGTGGCTGGATGACTACACTTCTGGTAACATGTGGGTGCGGCCTAATGTGCTAATGAGCGGTGCTGTCAGGGGTGTGGCCCAATATGCTAATGAGTTCCTGCTGTTGGGTGTGGCCTATTATGCTAATGAGTTCCTGCTGGGCTTTTTTTACAAAAGAAGCCCTGTGGGTAGCCATGTTCGTCTGCAGCAGTAGAAAAGAGCCAGAGTCCAGTCGCGCCTTAAAGACTAACAAAACTTGAGGCAGGGTATAAACTTGTGTGAGTCACTGCTCATTTCTTCAGTTCATACCCTTTCATCTGAAAGCCAAGTTTATGTGGTCAGCATTTGTTTGGATTTAATTTCGGGTGGGGGGGGAACATGGTGAAGCAAATAAATCTATCAGAATTGGAGAGTGATGTGTAAATGTGTCCTTCTTAATTGTGGAAAGCTAAGACCGATCAGGCCCGCAGTGGTTTAGAGGTTAAGATGTTGAGCTGCAGACCGGAAGGTCTGTAGTTCAGCAGTTCGAGACCTGAGTGCCGCGTGACGGAGTGAGCTCCCGTCTCTGGCCCCAGCTCCTGCCAACCTAGCAGTTTGAAAGCAAGAAATTGTAAGTAGATAAATGGGTACTGGTTCGGTGGGAAGGTAACAGCATTCCGTGCGCCTCAGCGCCTAGTCATGCCGGCCACATGACCACAGAGATGTCTTCGGACAGCGCTGGCTCTTCGGCTTGGAAACAGAGATGAGCACCGCTCTCTAGAGTCAGATTCGACTGGCTTTCAAGCAAGGGAAACCTTCACCTTCAAGATTGATCAATGGAAACCCTGTTGTTACGCTCCATCTGTCTCCTCTCAAGCATGGAGGTAACTAACAGCACCCTTTTCTTTGAGATGGGGTGATTGGTTGTGTAGTGTCATATAAATTCTCAGTAGAAAAGGGTGAGAGTCCAGTAGCACCTTAAAGACTAGCAATTTGTAGCAGGGTATGAGCTTTCGTGAGTCACTGCTCACTTCTGAAAATTAATTAATTAACCAGAGACCAGCTAAAAATGATTGGACTAACAAATGGAAAAGACAATATTTAAACCAGGGGTGTCAAACTCATTTGTTATGAGGGCCGGAGCTGACATAAATGAGACCTTGTTGGGCCAGGCCATGTGTGTCATAAAAGGTAATGGCAGGGAGCGGAGAGATAAACTTTATAAAGGACACAAAGACAAAGGATTTTTTTTAACTGAAAATAAAAACATGCTTAAAACATTAGCAATCTTCCAATATTTTTTTTTATGTAACAGTGTCTGATGACTGACACCTCTTGCTCTGAATTATTGCATCAATATGTCTGTGCTGTTGCAATCTCGAGTATGCTGTTCAGGTGTGTATCTGTCAGCTGCAAGCCTACGATGACGCAGCAACATCAGCAGAACTGGAAGAAGAAGCAGAAGACAGCCAGTTCCCCTGCGGGCCTCATAGAAGCGCTCCAGGGGCCTGATCCGGCCCCCGGGCCGCATTTTTGACACCCCTGATTTAAATGATGACTGCATTTTCTATGAATAAAAGTACTGGATATTGATTTGAGCACATATGAATACATGAAGCTGCCTTATACTGAATCAGACCCTTAGTCCATCAAGGTCAGTATTGTCTAATCAAACTGGTAGCCGCTCTCCAGGGTCTCAGGCGGAGGTCTTTCACCTCTTACCTGGCCCTTCAACTGGCGGTGACGGGGATTGAACCTGGGACCCATCTGCATACAAAGCAGATGCTCTCCCACCGAGCCACGCCCTCTCCCAAACAAGTTGCAAGTCAACATGTTCCTAGTCCCAGGGCAACGGCGGATGATTTAGCCCGTATTTCCTGCCCGATCTCCATGATTAAAGGAAGAGTTTGCTAGGTCTAGATCAATCCTACACTTCCCCAGCAAGATCAGAAAAACCGAATGAGCAATTATGAATAAAAATACCTCGCAGTCTTATCTTGGCCGTGGCTTCGATACCGTTGGTGACAAACTTCACCTCTGCGTCCCTGTCGCTCCTCGTCACCCTCTTGATAGTGAGGCTGTGGGTCGTTTGGGTTCTGGTAATGATGTACTTATCGCTGTTCTGCAAGACTTTGCCGTTGAGATACCACGAGCCGGAACAGACCTTCGTGAGGTCGACAATAAATGTAGCATCCCGGCCCGGGGCTACCTCTACAGTTTTCAGCGGGATTCTCATCGCCAACACTGGTTCTAGAGATGAAGAACAAAAATGCAATCATTAAAAGGATCAAAACTCGGAAGGGGGGCAAGGAAAATGGAAGACGGACACGCCCAAAGTCGGGTAGGTTGCTAACACATTTGAATCAGGGGGGTTTTCGGGGGGCTATTTTTAAGGAAATAAATTAGATAACTGTATAGGGTTGCCAACAACAAATCAGGAAATTCCTGGAGATTTGTGGGAGGAGCTTGGGGAGGGTAGAGATTGTGGAGGTGAGGGGCTAAGCAACCATGTGACAGCATCGGGGCCACCCTCCGAAGCTTCCATTTTCTCCATGGGAATTGATTTCTTAGCCAGGAGATCACTCATAATTGTAGAACACCTGGAGGTTGACCACCCTAGAACTTTCATATAAACGTGTTAGAGTGCTTGTCATTGGATGTCTGCTGTTTTGCGTTGACTTCAGTAGGGTTGCCATATTTTGGGCCGGTCACATGGGCAGGAAAATGTGGGGGGGAAGCGTGGCTTTTTGCCCCGGAGCAAAATAACGCGCGGTTGCGCGATCAGACGTCTGGTAGAGGTGCGGCTGAGGTCCTGTGGTTAGGGGGGAGGTGCCGATCACAGGACAATCCTGCGGCGCGGCAAAGAAGCGGCCTCTCTAGCAAAAGGCTCCGTGGGTTTAACCCCTTCCAGGGCTGCATCCCGTCAAGGTCCCGTGGTTAGGGGGGAGGTGCGATCACAGGACAATCCTGCGGCGCGGCAAAGAAGCGGCCTCTCTAGCAAAAGGCTCCGTGGGTTTAACCCCTTCCAGGGCTGCAAAGGAATGCAAACTGTGTCCTCCGACTGGTCCCCTCCAGGAGGAGCTTCAGCCGGGCCGCCCTCCC